AAAAAAAAAAAAAAAAAAGAAATCAGATGGTTCATAATTTGGACCATGTTTCAATTACTCGACCGGTTATAGCCAGATGAAAATTTTGCCAAATCACCTGATTTTTAGGTCTCTCATCCGATTTTGCTTTGAAACCTCCAAAGTTCAAATAAAGGAATAGAAATTTCAACTCAGTAAATAAATTGCCCTGAGAAGGAGAAAGTAATTTGCCGAATTGGAATATCACATCAGCGATACGCTCTGGGGTAGCCGGGGGATCTCAGGCCCCCATAACATTTGAAAAAGTATTAATATGGTCCACTAGTTTTTATTTTGTTATTTTTATCTTTAAATTTGTATTTATTTTATACAATTTTAATCCACTTTTCTTTATCATTTTTCATTTTGCACCCTCGAAATTTTTTTTAGCATATGATTATCTAATAATTTAACATGTCAAAAATAAGAGCACATAAAAAATTATGCGAGCCTAGATGATTGAGAATAAATACCTATTTAAGTATTTACTATTATTTTTATATTTAATGTTTTATTTAGATCAAAAACACCATATCAGAAACATCACTGATATTGTAATAGAATTTTTTTTACCTTGCTAAGAGACTGACTATCCATAAGGGGTTCATATTACTTTTTTGGCAAATGAAAAAAATATGGGTCCATGTTAACTATACTTAAAAAGAAGCTATAAAAAAAAACTTTACTAAAAAAAAATGTTATCCAAGAGATTAATTAAATTATTGCAACATTTTTTGCGGTGGGAACTTCGTATTACCTAATTATTCGGGTGGTTAGATTTTGATACTTCAATATTTGTAGTGTAAGCTACTGAGTGACAATTTGCTAATATTCATTGGATAAATGGGCACATTAATCAGTTTTTTTAAAAAGGGGAAGAATAATTTTAGTGGCGTGAACAAACATTTCAAAGATAAGCCGAATAACATGAAGAATGTGACTTGATTACGATATTAATTAGTCATAGCATCTTGAACTTGTGGTCGCATTCTATATTCTACTCATCTACTTCTACCATTTTCTCTCCTTTTCCCCCTCAATTCCGTGTGCCAAGCTGACTCAGCAAAGGCGGCTATAAGGTGTAAAATAAAGAGTGAAGGCTGTAATCCACTCGACAATTGGAACTTTTCATTATGTTTGAGAGTTTTTTTTTTTTTTTTTTTAATAAAAAAAATTGTCATCTCATGTGGAAGGATAGAAGGTTATGATGATGTTGCATACATATTTTATTTAAAGTTTGTTTTCTGAAATGCTCCTTTTCAGTCTATTTGTCAAATAAAGTGTGAATTCGAACTGAAAACATTTAAAATGTTTATAATAACTTGGACATTAGTAATGTCGTGAGCATTTAGAACATTGTTGATCTAAATTAATTTTTTATTTTATAAAAACGTATTATGTAGTTTAAATCAAAATTGTTAATATCGTATCGACATACGTATTGATTTTACTATTGAAACAGTACGTATCAAATATCGAAATTTTTCACGTATCGTTTTAGATTTATCGTTATAAATATATGTTTTTATAAATTAAATATTAAATTTGAAAATAATAAGAAGAGAAACTAATGTTTAAAACCATACATTTTTATAAATTGAAAATAAGTTTAAAATGACCAATTTTATAAAATATTCATAATTTTTTTTAAATATTAAATGTGCATATATAGAAAAATTTAACAAATTAGCTGATAAAAGAATTAAAAAAAATACATTTATTATAGTTAATAGACTAAAAAAAATCAAGAAAGTTAAAGGATGAAAATTATGCAAAACATTAAAGTTGAGGACCAAAAAAGAAATTCACTCTTTTTAAATTTGAATTGGTTTGCACCGGTTGATTTTCCATTTACCAGCTGAAATATCGGTCGGTATGTCAAAATTTGACCGAAATGTACGAAATTTGACCGAAATGTACGAAATTTGACCGAAATGAAATTGAACCATATACCATTTTAGATCAATGATAAAATTGATACGAAACGGCACTGACAACTTGGATTTAAATTGTATACATAAATTGTTTGATGAAAGCAAATCTCTTAATATTAAAGACTATCCTCCCATCTAACGTTTTTAATTCTGTAGTTTAAACTATAAATTAAAAAACTCTTTATTTTATTAGTCCGGACTACATTGAAAAATATTTTTATTCATTGTCTAAATGTTAAGAATTAAGATGCTGGCAACCATTTTATCCACAGAAGCCCACATAGCCCAAGTGGCCAAAAGTTTTACGGGTAGGAAGACTTCACAGTTCTCGCCTAGCAGGAGTTCGAACTCCCTCTCCCTCTTCGCATGAGTTGGGCCCATACGGCCCAATTCTTCCTCCCTTCGTATACAGATAGAGTATTTTTTACCAATAAGCTATTGATTCAAGTGGGAAAAGCTCGATGCTCTTTAAATAAGATCTCTCTCGAGTATGAGTTTTGTGAATGGAGAAATAAGTGATGGAAGAGTTTTCCCTAATGGGATTCAATACGACTCAACTTCAAATTAATTGAGATCTAATATGATTACTGAATACCAAAAGGTTAATACAAAAAAAAAAAGGGTATTTTCTTACCAACAAGGCAACAACTTTTACACAAAACTTTTCAACTAAAATGGGAACTTCCTACTGGTAGAGAAGGCCCTGAACAATGAGAAAGTTTCAAAGCTCAAAATATTTTTTAGGTATATCACATAAGTAGGCACTACAAACTTAAAGGAATAGTCTTTTTCCATTATCAAATCTCACCTAACTCTTTAAAATTTAAAGTTTAGTCCTCTAACTTTTAGAATTTTAAGATTTTTTTTCTATTTAATAACCATTCTTAAGCCCTCAATATTATTTTGATTAAACTTATCATATTTTTTGAACAAATTAAAATTAATACATATTTAATTAAATAAAGATGGAGAAAAAAAATTTGTAGGGCTCAAACATATAATCCATAAGAGGTGATTCTTACTGATCTAAAGTCAAAGTCACTAAAAGGTGATTAAGGTTATTATTTTATAAATTAGTATATTTAGATAATTAAATACTTATATATCATTCCAACAAATCAGAAAAATGTTTGATTTTCTTCGCCACGGAACAAAACAGTAGTAGTATGGTAATTGGTTAATCCAAAAAAACCGAAACTTAACCGGGACGTACGGTTTGGTGACACAAAAGTAGCAGGTACCACACGTGTCTTATTTTCGCAGCTTGGGGAGTAGTCGCCATAGAAGGCAGAGTTAGACAAGGTAGCTGAAAATTTACACCCAAGATTGTCGAGAATGGATTCTTCGGAGACCACCAACTACCAAAACGTTGTCGTAATGAGGCACGGCGACCGTCTCGACAACGTCGACCCGACTTGGGTGAAGACGGCGGAGAGGCCCTGGGATCCGCCGCTGGTAGATGCCGGTCTGGACAGGGCTTTTGCTACCGGTAGGGAGCTTCGGAACGCCCTAAGCTTCCCGATCCACCGGGTTTTCGTCTCCCCGTTCCTCCGCTGTGTCCAGACAGCATCTCAGGTGGTCCTCGCTCTCTGCGCCGCGGGTGACGATCCCAACGCCTTGTCCTCCCGCGATGTCGTTTCTATTGACACCACCAAGCTGAAGGTTTGTCTGATCTCCTCACGCAGTAATCATATAACGGAAATCTTTTGATTTATGTATGCATTTAGCATTAGTATGCTGTTCTGATGGAAATTGCTACTGATACTAATGATAAATTTGGTATGATTGCTGTGGATTATATTATAGTAAAATATAATTAGATATCTGAATCAGATCTGATTTGATATGAAGGAAATTTTGCATTTTTTAGGTAAATTTATTTGAATTCAGTTATCGAATATCGAATTACTATTTAAAATCACATTATCATTTCATCTTGATTGAGTATATATATTGGGGTGCACAAAGTAGTTTAACTATGCATATGCTTGCAGCATAGATGTATATTTCCCTCATTCTGTCCATTGTATTGGCCTTCTGCTTTCTCAAATCCTTCTTTACCTGTCCCGAGATCTGAGATCCTAACTTTTGTTCTAAGCTCTTTTCTGGTACTCTGTTAACATACATCTTGGGGCAGCTAGTCAAGTTCCTGCTTATTTATTGCTTATTATCTTTGGATTAAAACTTTTTTTTGCACAAACTTTGCCTTTTCTTTATGCATAAACCTTGAGCCTGTTTTATGCATTCTGCAGGTGTCCATCGAGTATGGACTCTGTGAGATGTTGAGCAGGGAAGCAATTGCACCTAATCTGGCACCCGCAGATGGAAACTTTAGGTTTAATGTCCCAGAACTTGAGGCAATGTTACCCGCTGGGACAGTGGATCATACTGTGGAGCCAGTATACAAAGAGGTGTTTGCATCTCTGGTTTTTTTTTTTTTTTTGGTACAAGTATTTGCATCTACTTATAGTTTATATTTAACCTCTTTAACTGGTTATTGAGTTCTGATGTTTCCACATGTGTGATCGTTCCTATGCTTGAGAAACTCCAGCCGCCAAAATGGGAAGAGACAGTTGTTGGCACAAGGACAAGATATGAAACAATTATTAAGGCACTTGCAGATAAATACCCTTCAGAGAACTTGCTATTGGTTACACATGGTAAGCTCCATTCCTCAATTTTCACATTTTTGGATTTATGATACTCTATGTTCCAGCAATATAAAAAGTGAATATATCTTCATCACTTGAATATTAGACCACGTATATATGAGAAATGCTCTGTAGAAAGCCTCGGGTTGATCTGTCTCTAAGATGTCATTTCATGTGATTAACATGTACTCTCCAAGTAGTTGATATGCATATTTGTGTGCAGGGGAAGCGGTTGGAGTGTCAGTTTCTGCATTCTTAAAGGGTGCAACAGTCTATGAAGTGGAATATTGTGCATATTCTGAATTAAGAAGACCAGTCTTTTGCAACAATGGGTCAGTCAGTGCTGGCAACTTTGAGATGCTTGCACATAGTGGCCAAACCGGTATTCGCTACTTACAGCCTGTATTTGGCATTGCTAACAGCGATGGTTCCATTAATGAATGACCTCTTGCATGTTTTTTGCTTCGCCATTCAGTTGGTGTCACTGTGTCTGTGTCTTTTGACACAACAACTCCTAACGGGTCATTGTCATTGATTATGGCTTTCCTTGCCTAACATGATTTATTCATGACACAAGAAAATAAGAATTATGAACGTGCATTCTCTTTTTCATTGTCACTGATCTCACGGATTCTGAAATAAGAAAATGTAGCCAGCTAGGTATGCAATTTGTTTACATCCATAACAGGAATGTTGTGAAGAACCGAGACCTGACTTCTCTATTGCTTTTCTTGGATTTCTCCTAAATTTCTTCACATCGTTGAAACGCAAGAACATGTCAACTACCTGAGCATATTCTGCATTAAGCATAGAATTAGC